AAAGAAATTATAAAGGACTAGGAAGGTAGGAGTCTGGCAGGCCTCCAAAGAAGCCTGTGTGGCTCTAACCACATACCCTTACCCACTTAGAACTCTCTTTTTTATACATTTTCTTTGCTCCTGGCTTTAGTTTATAGTGTTTCATTAAAACTCTCTAGAGATGAGTAGCTATGGGATTGAAAGAGGGTTTTCTCCCCTCTCTGCCTGGGCCAGGGGTTCCTAACCTGGGATTCATGAATGGCCTTCATAGAGTCTAGGAGTTCCTTGAAACTTGGTGTTTTTGAGAAGTGATCTGGAGAAAGATTCTCATAGGGATCTGTATCACTTCAAAATGTTGAAAACCACTGCTGTAGAACTTTATGTAAACTACACTAGAATTGACTTCAAAGTTACAATTAATAATATTTTTGATTCTTTGAGATTGATACCATATAATAATTTCAACTCATTAATTATATGATGAAGATTAAACTTCACCCCTCATCATCTCCCTCTCTCTGCTCATCCCCCACCCTCCACCCTGATGTTTTAATGTCCTGAACTACTTGGGCTTTACAGTTTTATACTCTGCTAGATATATTTATGCTTTGAACCAAATGTGCTTAATGCAAATATTTTTAATCCTCTGTGAAACCATTATAGATAATTCTTTGCATTTCAGATAAAAACAACTTATAGACATATAAGGTGAAGATCACTTAAGTGGAAAGAGCATGTATCAGTGAAATAGCAATTTGAATTGAGCAAATATAAATCTATGTAGATTATAACATATTCTCAGAATTACATAGCAGATTATAATTCAGTCAAGAAGTAGGCATCTTTTGATGCCCATGAACATTTATGAATTGTGTAAGAACTCTGAGATTAAATTTTTAGCCATAGTGTTAAGTTTGGGATCAATATTATCATTTTATATTAACATATAAGTACAACAATTATATCCAATAAAAACTTTCCATTTAACTTGGCTTTAATTTGCTTTAGACTGTGACATACACACTGTGATTTTTCTCTCCATTTTGGATTCCTATCATTGACAGCCAGCCTGTGTGTCATTTGACATCCAGGAAAGATAGTTTTTCACTCCAGACCTTGGATGTATTAGCCAATTTGGGTACAATTTACAATGATCTCTTTTGAGCACATCAGAAATTTAATTTTGACTAATTTTATTAATAAATGCTCATTGAAATTTAGAAAAGAAAGTTATGTGCTTAGATATAAGAACACAAACACTAGGTATAGTTTTAAAAGAGCATAATATTGTTGAGAGTTATTGGGTTTATAACATGCAACAGAAAAATAATCATTGAACATATTTCATAGAAAATTGCTAATATTTTCTTCTTCTCCCCAAAGGTTAGAAAAGACAGCAAGTCCAAAAAAGGAAGAGGGAAAGAAAGAAAGAGAGAGGAATGTGGGGAAAGGAGAGAGGGAAGGGAAGGAAGAAGGGAGAGAGGGAGGGAGGAAAATGGTAAGAAAATAGGTCCCAGTGCCATAGTCTAATATCCTGGCTTGTAGAGAAGACTAGAATATAGCAAAACTTAGAGCTTTAAAATCTTTGAAGACTAGTCAGTCTTTTATATATATATTTCAAATTTGTATGTACTTTCAATGAATCATACATAATCTAATTATCTTGCTTAAAATTTTCATTAAACTCATCAATTTTGTGAAACAATTTTAAAGCACTGGAGATCTTCAACCTCCCTTGTGTTAGCATGTATAATGATCCAGGCTGGAGATTTTCATCTTAGCTCGTCTTGTCACCATCCTTCACACCTGCATGTACTTGAGCGAGGTTTCACATTGACCACAAAGGGAAATCATTTCTTTGAAGAAATCTCTACAATAGTGCAATTGTCACAAAAACTTTCCAGGAAAGGAGATGTCTTTAATTGCTGGTTTTCTGCTTTAGCCTTTTCAGTCTAAAGATACTTAATCATGTCCTTCTACTTGATCTCCTTTAGTGAAGTTTGTTTTGCATATTTCTGGAGGCCTTATGTGAAGTTGTTAAAATCATGGTGTCAGACAGGCAAGATTGAATCAGCCTGTATTAAATCCTTGATATGTTTTAGTGGGCTCGAGGTAGAGGGACCTGCTTTGTTTTCTCAGAATCTTTTTTTGGTTTATTAATTTCTCATGGGTCTCCCCTTACTTCAGTTTTATCCTTCTAAGAGAAGTTATCAAAACACTGATGGGTCCGGGCGTGGCGGCTCACGCCTGTAATTCCAGCACTTTGGGAGGCCAAGGTGGGTGGATCACCTGAGTTCAGAAGTTCGAGACCAGCCTGGTCAATATGGCAAACCCCATTTCTACTAAAAATACAAAAATTAGCTGGGCATGGTGCCACGCGCCCGTAGTTCCAGCTACTCGGGAGGCTGAAGCAGGAGAATCGCTTAAACTCAGGAGGCAGAGGTTGCAGTGAGCTGAGATCGTGCCACTGCACTCCAGCCTGGGTAACAGAGGGCGAGTCCCTCTCCAACAACAACAACAAAAAAGCACAATGATGGGCAGACCGGTCCTACAATAGCTTTTTTTGGCCTGTGATTTTTTTTTTTTTTTTTTTAACAGAGTCTTGTTCTTGTCACCCAGGCTGGAGTGCAGTGGCACGATCTGGACTCAGTGCAACCTCCACCTCCCAGGTTCAAGCAATTCTCCTGCCTCAGCCTTCCGAGTAGCTGGGATTACAGGCACCCGCCACCATGCCCGGCTAATTTTTGTAGTTTTAGTAGAAACAGGGTTTCACCATGTTGGCCAGGCTGGTCTCGAACTCCTGACCTCAAGTGATCCACCCCCCTGGCCTCCCAAAGTGCTGGGATTTATAGGCACGAGCCACCGCGCCTGGCCTGGCTTGTGATTTAAAGAGTGAAATATCAGATTTTAAACATAGAACAATAAAACTGTTAGGGTCAGCTCCTCCAAAATCTGAAATTTTCATCACCAAACAGTGATGTGTTTGGTGGGACAGATGATTTGTTTAAAATCACTTTACAGATTATTTTCCACCAGACTTTCTAGGCTGGTGATAAGGAGTAGAGGCAGTTTTAGAAGGCAAGCCCAGGGCAAACTTAGGACTGAGTTCTTAGCAACACACGAATGTATTGAATTTCTTTATAGGAACTTCTGGACATTAAACATACTAAATATACCTTAAAAGAGACAAAGTTCATCAGGGTTTGACTCATCTTTGTCAAAATTAGCTAAAATTGATCATGTACTATATAGTAAAGCTTTTACCTATTCTAATCAGTGCTGCCCAATAGAAATGTCTACAATAATAGAAATATTTTCTCTCTCTGCTATCCAGTAAGGCAGCACCAGCCACATGTGGGTATCGAGCACTTGAAATGCAGCTGCCAAGACTGAGGAACTAAATGTTTTGCTTTTTATTAAATGTTAAATAATTTAAATTTAAAAAGACAAATGTGGCTAGTCCTATTGTATTATATGGTAACATAGCTCTACCAAATCCTATTGAGAGGTGACAATGTGCTAGCAGCCCTCACTCTCAGCGCCTCCTCGGCCTCGCCATCCACCGGCGGCGCTTGAGGAGCCCTTCAGCCCGCCACAGCACCGTGGGAGCCCCTCTCTGGGCTGGCTGAGGCCGAAGCCGCCTCCTTCTGCTTGCGGGGAGGCGTGGAGGGAGAGGCGCCGGCGGGAACTGGGGCTGCGCGCGGCGCTCGCGGGACAGTGTGAGTTCCGGCGGACGCGGGCTCGGGCTCGGCGAGCCTAGCACACTGAGCGGCTGGCCGACGCCGCCGGCCCAGAACAGTGAGGGGCTTAGCACCCGGGCCAGCAGCTGCGGAGGTTGCGGCTGGTCCCCCAGCAGTGCCGGCCCGCGGACGCTGCACTCAAATTCTCACCCGGTTTAGCTGCCTCCCTGCGGGGCAGGGCTGGGATCTGCAGCCCGCCATGTCTGAGCTCCTCCCCTGCGGTGGGCTACCGCGCGGCGTGAGCCTCCCGGAGGGGCGCCGACCCCCGCTCCGTGGCGCCCGGTCCCATCGATAGCCCAAGGGCTGAGAAGTGCAGGCGCGGCTCGGGACTGGCGGGCAGCTCCGCCTGCAGCCCTGGTGCAGGATCCGCTGGGTGAAGCCAGCTGGGCTCCTGAACTGGATGGGGACTTGGAGACCTTTTCTATCTAGCCAGAGGATCGTATGTGCACCAATCAGCACTCTGTATCTAGCTAACCTAGTGGGGACTTGGAGAACTTTTCCGTGTAGCGTTCTGTGTGTAGCTCAAGGATTGTAAATGCACCAATCAGCACTGTGTCTAGCTCAGGGTTTGTGAATACACCAATAGGTACTCTGTATCTAGCTAACCTATGGGGACTTGGAGAACTTTTCCGTTTAGCACTCTGTCCAGCTCAAGGATTGTAAACACACCAATCAGCACTCTGTCAAAACGGACCAATCAGCTCTCTGTAAAATAGACCAATCAGCTCTCTGTAAAATGGACCAATCAGCAGAATGTGGGTGGGGTCAGATAAGGGAATAAAAGCAGGCTGCCTGAGCCAGCGGTGGAAAGCGGTTAGAGTGTCCTTCCATGCTGGGGAAGCTGTGTTCTTTCGGACTTTGCAGTAAGTTTTGCTGCTGCTAACTGTTGGGTCCACCGCTGCCTTTATGAGCTGTAACACTCACCACGAGGGTCTGTGGGTTCATTCTTGAGGTCAGTGAGACCGAGAACCCACCAATTCCAGACACACTGTATGATAGATAATTGGAAAAAAATTGACAAAGAAAGGTCTTTGCACTCCTTGTGCTGGGAAGTACTGTCTTGGTCATCATAGCTGGGGGTGTTTTATAAAGTTTTTGTGAAGCTGGATCTCCTTTATTTTGAGGCTAGAAGTGACAAAATAGGCTCCTTTAGGAACAACCAGTCTCATCTATACCTAGATTTGCTTGCTTTCTTACCACTATATCATTTTGCTTTTATATATTGGTTTTGCATAATATATAGATTTGCTTTTAATTCCTTATTTTTTCTTTGATTTTCAGATCTTTGACCATCAGTCTGTGACTTGCCCTTTCTCTTTACGTAAGTAAAAGTGATTTATTTACCTTTAAAAAAAAAAAGCGTTGGGTTTAGAAAATTGTGGTCTTCATTGGCATTTTTCCTAGTTGATTTTGTTGTGGTTTCTAGTGCTTCTGTAGTGTGTATTAGTTTCTTTTAAGTTTGGAGTCTATGCTGTTGGTGGTTGCTAACCATGAGGGTGCAGAAAATACCAGCAGCCCAGACACCGTACTTCTATAAAGGCTGCCCTTTACTTGGCTGCAGCTGCTGTTTGCAAAAGTCACTGCTCTTTTAAAGTATAGCTTGTATTATTCAGCCAAATACCAGCAACAGTTGGGCTTTTGCTCCCCTGTCAATCATTGGGCAATTATGTATTCTTCAGTTATGTACCCATCCCTACGTCCAGTAGTTTTTAATTTTAACTTCTAGATCAGAGCTTTCATTTATTGACAAAATTTCTAATATCCCTTTACTAAGTACAAGACTGTAAAGTAAATAGGCTAAACTTTTGTGCAAAATTTTGAAGTCTACAGGAGAAAAAAAAAAAAGAAATCCCAGATTCACATGTGCCAGAAGGTTTATAAAGGTACCACTCTTTTTTAGAAAAGATGGAAAGGCATTTGGGGGAAAAAAAGACCATTTGATTTTATATGAAAAAAAGGGAACGTTAATTATTTAAAGTTGAAACCAGGCTGCATTGAATGGGTTTAAATAAATTTCATTTTGAACTGCTTGAAAGAGATTCTAGGCCAGTGAATGGAAATAATCAAAGTCACTTATAAGAGACACCACCCAAGAGATCTACAGGTAGTGATAGTCACCTAATGTGATAAAGAGTTATCGATATCCTCTGGCTGCTTCCCACTCTCTGGTGAGCACTGTCCCTTATTCACATTATGTATTGCTTCACTGACTCCTCACTCCAAGGTATTTCTTGTATTGTAATCATTTGCACAGAATGGAGGTTCCCATGGCTATTTTGTTTGTGTATGCCTTCCACTAACATTCCTAGAAGATAGTGGCAAATGTATTTAGGGAGGCAGAATCCTCCAAAGGATGCTAAGGCTAAAGTGTAACGTGACAGTTTATTTGACAGAGAAAGGCGATTGATTAAACTCCCGAAAGACTGGAGCTGTGTATAATGCATTTATACAACAGGGGTGGGTCCTACCTGCCCCTGACAAGTCTTGTTATTCTCTATTTCAGTGTTGATAGAGTGGGTCTGTTAATGCTTTGGAGGATGTCAATATGCATGCTTATGGTTACCACTTTATATCTGCACAGCCCTCCCCTCAGTTACCTAGCACTCCATATTTCTAGTCCTCTGACTGGCAAATCATTTTTGTTACAGTTCTTTTGTGTAAAAACAGTTCACATAATAGCTCTGTGTTAGACAAGGCATTAATCCTCACATCACCAGGATGAGTCAGCACAGTGCACTCCTGCCCGCACGGCTCAGCTATTGTGACGTCAGTGCTATAGGGCGAGCCTCAGACACAAGCAGTACAGGGGACCTGTGTCACCAATTAGGAATCAAGGGGGGAGACTTTTGAGATAAAAAGTGTTGTTGAAAGCCTGTCTCTGGCTCATAGGAAAATGCAAATCTGATTCTATGCTACATCAATCATCAGTCACGTAGCTTCTAGAAATATACTATTTTTTAACTATACATAAGGCTGGGGGAGTGACCTGTAATGAGAAGATAATCTGTTCGTATATCCATGACCTTGTCCCATCCCTGGGCCAGGCTTCATATTTGCTTGGCTTGTTCCAAATCTTGAAGCTGCTGTCATATTAGCAGGGTGATGGGGCTTATGACAGTCCTACTGTCGTAAAGTACCCCACAGACACAGTTGATGGTTGATGGCTCCAGGGTGGTGCCCCAGAGGCCTAACAAAAGGAAAAGAAATGTCCAATGTCCCTTGAGAACAGATCAGAACATTATCTCCCCAGTGCTTTGACTCCAAGTGCCTCTTCAATGGCCTCCTCTAAACAGGTGCAGAATTCTGTTTGTTTGATCTTCTCTTCTTAGCAGTGCATTTAGTCCAGTATCACAATCTGTATTTGACCTGGATTTCAATAGGAACTGAAAAGCTGTCAGATGTTCTCCCAAGAATTTTCCATTCCATTACTGTTTAGCAGAAACAAAGAGGAACCCTCCATAATCTGCCATTCTACCTTGAAGCGCGGGTAGCACAGACTTACCTTATTTGGGAAACCTGGATCTTATGAGTTAGGTCTGTCTACAATTCAGATTCAGATGTATTCTCAGGGCAATATATTTCTGTATTGGATATTAAGTCTTGAAAAGGGTGTTAATTTACAGCCTTAATGGCATTCTCTGTTAAAAAGACCTTCCTCCATCACAGAATTTATCCCTCACTCTTACTGTCACCGCAGCCAGTCACCAGCCCCTGCCATACCCATCAGAAAGTGCCTTACTGCTGGGATCTTCTGCCTTCATTAGATTGCTAATGGGCTCCTACTATGCTTATAAAAGCTAACACTACTACTTGGCTTCGTTTTGATTAATTATCATGCGCAGCTCTTTATTTAGTTTTCATTCAACAAACATTTATGGAAAGCTAGTCACTATGCTTGGTTGTGGAAATTCTGAGATAAATAAGAAATGCTTTCTTTTGTTAGAAATCTCAGTCTGATAGGGGAAATAAATAAGTAAATAAAGACTATAGCATATGATAGACACTGAAATGCAGGTGTATACAAGACATAGTAAGAGGAATGAAGAAGGAGTGCCCATTTGCATGTGGTAAGTTGCCCAGGCTGGGTCTTAAAGTCAGAAGAGTAAATTGCAGTTTACCAGGTAGATATGAAAGAGCAGAAAGAAAAGCGGATCATAATTGAGAAAAATGTAAGAGCATTTACAAAATCAGGAGGCGTTAAGTAACAACGAGATCCAGAGGAGTGAATAGTTCGGTGTGGTTGAAACATGGTGGTTGAAAGAGTAGTATGAGATTGGGCTGGAAAGTAGGCAAGGGACCTTGCCTACCATATGGAGGACCTTGTGTGTCATGCAGAGGAGTTTGGACTTGATCCTGCAGGCTCAAGGAGGCTTTGAAGAATTATAAACAGATGTATGTTTTAGAAAGAGCACTTGGTGAAAGTGGAGAGACTGGCTCAGAATAGGGAGGCGAGGTTAAAGGTAAAAGCCAAAGGCCTGAACTGTGCTGTAGGGGTAAGATGGAGGGGAGCGGCTATTTGGTAGTGTCGAAATAGACATTAACCTTTGTGTAATTCCAGCGTATCTTGGCCTATTACATAATCTTTGCCTTCTAGGAGAAAGGCTGATACATTGTGTGGAGTCAAATTTCAGACCAAAATACATCCTTATGGGATCTTCAGCAAAGACCTCAATTTGAATATGACCTCACTTTGAGCTACTGCCCGCTGGTCGCCAGGCTCGCGTACCTCCTACTGCCTGTGGTGGGTGTGGGGGAAGAGCAGGCAGATAAGGAGAAGACATTCCCAGTGTCCTGCTTTTCTCTTCTTTCACCTGGAAATGAAACAGTTTCTAAATAATGCCCCCCTAAAGTCAATCAATGCCCCAATTTCCTATCATTTTCTCATTGCTCCCTTTTTCTAAGCAAAATTTCCAAACCATTGAACTGAATTGCAACTTATGCACAGCCGGGTGTTGAAACAATTCAGTGTATTCATTCCTTCTCTCTGAATTAGAGTTCACCATAAGTGTGCTTTTCTCTTGTTCACTTTGGGCTGCCAGGACAATTTAAAGGAAATTTTCAACAGCTTATGTTTCATGTACTATGTTCTCTTTTGCAAATGGGAGGATATGCGTGGGTGTGTTTAAGCCTTCTCTATATTGCTTTCTGGAGAAAGGTTTGGGAAGATGAACAAGACGAGGAGTGGGGACCTATTGAAAGCCCAGGTCCCCCAGTGACCTGAGTGCAGAACGTAGGCTGGTGATCAGATGGTCAATTATGTGTTTGTCAAAACACAGTGGGCTGCATTCCAGGCTGCCAGCTTTGGAAGCCCAGCTTCTGCCAACCAAATGTCATCTGGGAACATGCAACACTGGGCACTGTGAAGGAGTTTGAAATAGACCATGCCACAGCCAACCTACTGCCAGTCTTATAGCACCAATATGGCATGCACAGCCGGGCCCCATGTTTCAGAGCTCAGGAATTCACTGTACTAAATTCAAGAGGTCAGATGGGTTCATGTTTTCAAAGCCTATGTTCTCTGCTTTGAACACTGTGACTTGCTCCTCAGCAATTTCCAAGGGATTTTTCCAGTCACATCTCTGTGGAAACCATTCTTTTTGTGATGGTTATAAGATCCTTGTAAATGTCCCAGAGGATAGGAAAAAAATAAAATAAACTTGCTCTGACAATGACTGTGATTTCGACAGAGGGATTCCAACTCTTAGGAAACTACATTAAAGGTGCATAGCTTTTAAAATATCAGGAACCACCTTGGCAACTTATAAAAAGCAGAAGGGCTTTGCCTATTTTATAAAGTGATTTGCATATACCTGCATAAATAATGTCCCCACCTGTACTTTTATGCATTTAGGTTGAATAAATTAAATTTTGTGATCTTTAAAATACTCCCTGTCTTAAATTGCTCAGACACCATTTTCAGGACCCTTCCTTCTCATTTCTTTTGGCTAGTGATAAGAGTGGCTATTTTTTTTTTCAATCTTTTGACTCATTCAGAGAATCAAAACACACTGAACACCAATCGACCATAGCCAGGAATATTACCTCCCTCTGGTTGCATTTCTCTTAGCCTTTCTACCTATCAGATTGTGAGCTCCATGTATTTTTAATAAGAGAAATAAAGAAGCACAAGACAGAATTAAGTTCTGTTTACATGTATATGTAAGACAGAGAAAGAGTGTGTGTATGTGTGTGTGTTTGTGTGTCTATGCACAGACTGGCACTGATACACACCTCAGGGACATACCCATAGTAACCTTTTCTTTCTTTCACCACTGCACTGCCACAACCTCTTCAGGAACCATCCTGCTACTAAGCCATTCG